GGTCACAAAGTGGCGGCAACAGTGTGTGTGTGTAATTGAACTGAGTATTGTTGAAGTCGAGCACGTGAGACGTTCGTTGAGAATTATAGCGTTTGTTGAAATTAAGTGTATCGCAAAGTTATATTCAGAAAGAATAAAACAGTTTTATTTAAGAAAGAACTTGTGTCGCTAAAGTTTCGTCGGAACGAATTTACGGAAAATTAACTAACGAACGGAGGCGTAACATTGTTAACCAGAGGTGCCAACAAGTAACAAACAAAAATAATGACATTTTTTAAAGCGTTTCGGGCGTTTCAAAATTATTTCTGATATATATGTGTGTGTGTGTGTATCCTAAAGCTTTTTTCTGGGCAGTGGGACATTTAATAAAATTTAACGAACTCTTGGCAACCCTGCTTATAAATGAACAAAGCATAAGGATACAAAACAGTTCTGTAAAAGTAGCAGTTATGAACCGCGCCTACCTTAAGGTATTTGCCACCCTAAGCACAGAAATGTCTTGCCACAATCATATCCAAATATTCTATTGGTTTTATGTGGACTAAGACAGACTAAATGATACAGCACTCTTATCCACGGTACAATATGTCTACGTATTCTTATGTGCAAAATAAATGAATTTAGTTTAACTTTTAAGTTTGTAATTTCTGGTTATAAATCAAACATTTCAAGTGTTGAGCGCAATACCTGCACAACAAAAACGAAATTATAGAATTTTCTTTTAACGAAACGAAATCTCTAACAAGTTCTTTCTAGTCCAACGATTCGGCTACGTAATAATCAGTTATATGACTGAGAAACCAATTGAATGCCCCTCTATCATCTTAGATTTCAATAGAGTTTTGATTAGTTTCAGTTTTTAGAAGCCTCGTTCCCCACTAAACTGTAAGAGCATGTGGGAATAGAGAGATGACGTTATTTTCTACTAGGTAATAAATTGCGCAAAATTGGATCACTCCTGGTGGGATTATAACTGACAGCTGTTTGAGTTCACCAAGTACACTAATCTCTGTTGATTGAGATTTTGATCTGGAAGAGTGGTAGGGTCCATTCAGTGTTTTCATCTGAATTTTTATTTACTTTTAGATTTCAATATAACATACAATAACAGATTCCTTCAATTACTGAAAAGCGGTGTCGAATATGGTATAAACATTATTTTGAACTGAACTGAATAGGTATTGAATAGGTTCATTCTCATATTCAAAGCACATATTTCTTTTGTTTTCAACGAATTTCAGTCACTTACTGAAATTTTACATCAATCACCCTTTCTTCAACAAGTGACTTATATCTTCCAGAGCTTTTACAAACCCCTTAATATTTTTCTAAGAATCGCAGGTGAAAAGTCTAAGTGAGAGATCTCTAGTATTTTACAACTTTGTTCATTTAATATTACGAATCACGAGACAACACAAAAATTTGAAGATTCGAATATAAGCTTCCCACCTTATTGTTCCTTAACTTTCAAAGAGCGCCTTGATTTCTGCTAGGGCTAATAAAGCAAACATTCTACACCTTCAAGACAGGACATTGCAGCGTCATTAACAACAATACTGAGTGAACAAACATGGTACAAATAATATTAGTGGATTTAGTGACAGAACTTTAGACTGAATTCTACTGTTCTTGCTATTATTACATGCATCATTGTAGCCTTGCTCCCTCGTGTATTTAAGAACTGAATCCTAAAAAGTTTTTCCAGTACCAGCTCCGTCATAAAAGTCACCGAGCGTTTTGTTTCGGTGAATTCCTTAAAATATTTAATTTTGACTTTATCAGAATCTACTTTGATGAATTGAACAATCATTATCAAGTATTCTTTGTAACTCGTATCTGGAGTACAATCCAATACAACAGAGTAGTATTTTGTATTTTTTCCTAAGCTCATTATTTTGTGAATGATTTTGCAAACTATATTTAGCAGCTGCACGATTCATTTTGAATTATTTCTCAAAATATGAGTTCTCTTCATCTCATCCCTCAATTGTTTTTTATTACAATATAAAAATGACAAAAGGTTGTCGACTAACATCAAAACATTACCATCTTTATGTTCATTTAGACAGTCTGAAGTTTTTCATAGTGTTAGATACTGAGCACTTTATGATGACTATAAGTTTTTCTAATGCTTGTTTCAGAGTTTGGTCAAAGTTAGATTATTCTTTATCTGCAAAAATGCACTAGGACGTCGTACTTAACCCAGACATACAGTGTCTACCATCTGAAATAAAAAATGACGAAAGCACTTTATTTTATACACCAATCTGCACTACACTCAAACAGGAGAAAACTGGTACTTACGTTAGCCACACCCGCTTATATGAAATCAAAGTCTATCGCATGGTTGAACGACGCATAGGAGCCAGTACTGAACTCCGGTTTTAAAGGCAGAATTGGATGAGAATGGTGACACATTCCACCTGGACGAGATGTCGGTTCATAGTAGCTTAACCACAAATATCCATGAAATAACTAAGGTAAAGTTTCTTGTTCAAAGACACAACAACATGTCGCGAACAAGTTTAGAATTTGTAACCTTCCGACTGTTGCCAGTGTTTTTTTGTCGTTGTAGTGAGATCCAGACTAAACTGGAGAAGATTCTAAATCTATGTGATTCTATGATGATTTATTATCTTCTGTTATATCAACAGGTGGGGGCAGCACGGTCAGTTCAGAAAGTAATAAGCACTGACATTAAATGTGATGAATGGTTTTCTACTGCTTTGGCATTACTAACACGACAAATTTCTCTATGTTTCGGTTTAATCAGTGCTAAACTTTATATTATTTATTTTGTTCTCTCTCTTATTTTTCTTGTTCCCTTTCTTCCACTCAACTTGTCACTTTGTTCAGATTCTAATTCTCTCTTATTTTCTGTTTATTTTTTTGTGTTTCCTTATTGCTATTTTTTCTCTCCGCTTCTACAATTTATCTACCCGCTAAGCCTTGGTTATAGATAATAAGATAAAATAAAAGGAATATATTGAAAGCAGAATGATGAGAAAATAATTCTTAGTACTCATATCGTAGTCGAGGCTGTTGGGACAGTATTTTAATCTGTTTTTTAGTATTTCGCGAGTAATTATATATATATATATATATGGTATGTAACTTTTAATATTAGATGTGAAGCCAAAGAATAGAGAATGAACGAGAAGCTTTGGTACTTATTTTTGAATTTTATAAATGACATTGAATTCATAAACGTACTGGATCGTATGAAATAAAAGGCTGCTGAACAACAAGAATTGTTTTTAACATTATTATCAAACATCACATACTCTAAAATTACCTATCTCGATACGGTGTTATATTGAGGAATTATTTCAATCCAACTTTTATCATAAAATATCCCAAGGTGTTACAACACTGAACACCACATGATATGTTTTTATATAACAACTAAACCATGTGGTAAACACATGTAATTAAAGTTTTTCCTTTATATCAAATAGAAGTCAAACTACGTTAAGAATTTTGATACACTAATAAACAAAACTTGCATGAAATATAATGATAATAAAAGATAAACTTCAAAACTCACTCGCTGATAAAATCTTTCAATGTTTCTGACCAGCGTGTTTCCCTCTTAACACTAGGGGGAGGATTTCTGCGTGAAAACAATACGTATTTTATTAATAATAACATAAAAAGTAAGAATTCTAATTACCAAAGAAAATGTATCTTAGTATTTCGAAGCTATACACACAAACAGTAAAAATTCAAAGCAATATTAAACAAAAGAAAAACGAAACTATTCTTTATTTAGATGTGTAAGATTATAGATTAGATCACTAGAATATATTGTAACAGAAGAAAAAAAAATCAGCTTACATTTTCAACCAATCAGCGTTAAACTAGACTAAGAAGAAAACTTTTCCACGAAGAACTAAAATAGATGAACGTGAAGAAGTCAGTGAAATGTTCCAATGTACAATATTTATCAACATAGGCAGAGGCATCGGAACCGGGGGTGCTGGGATACAGCACCCCCACCTTTATATATTTGACATATAGCAACTGTAAATAATGTTATTATATTATTATTAAGTCTAGCCAAGCATAACCATTTTGCAAACTTCTTCTTACGCCACTGATAAGTAAAATTCATTTTTGTATTGTTGTTTTCAAGTTTGAGTTGAAATTTGTTTTAAATCTTTATATTGTCTTACATTACTGCGCCACGATATAATTGTAATTAACTGTTGAAGCGTAACTACTTTCTGCTTATTGTTGTGATAATGTGTTGGAACTTTGTCACTAAATTTAGTCTTATTATGTTATAATTTAACATCGCTTTATTGAAGTTCATAATTTTATGTCCGTCGTAAACCTTCTAACATATTAAGTTTACAAAAGCATTCCATTAGTTTGTGGTTGAGTTACTGAGTGGTAAAAAAGTAAGTTGAATTGGTGAATTAAAAGTTTGTTTATTGCTGAAATATGATCAATAATAAATTTATGTTTGATTCGATGAACAAGGAATAATATGCAGAGTTTGCTTGTCAATACTGAAAATGTGGAACTCACTTGTTAGAAAACAATCGTACCATATGTATAATTCGTTATTCATGGGACGGAACCTTAACTTAATATAAATCAACCAGAATGGTATAAAAATTGAGGAAGAACTGTTGATAAACCGGAAAAGTGTGTAAAAAATCCGCTTTTAATTATAGGTTATCAAATCAAAAGCATTACAATACATTAATTAATACAATCATTATGCATTATGCTCGATTAAAACTACTGACCTGTTAATCCGAAACATGGCGCGTAAAGCATGAATATCGCTAAGTGAGGGCACTGTGTCTGCTAATTCTATAGCAGTTATTCCAATAGACCATACGTCACATGTGTAGTTATAAGGTTCTTGAAGACAGTCACAGGATATCACCTACAAAGTGCACAGAGTTTGTTAGTACTATAAGATAAATTACATTAGGGTTGTCAATAAAAAGACAAGTTTAAGCAACAGATATTAATTAGATGTGAAACATAAGCCTCTAGATTTTAGATGATTGTAAGATATTTTTAAAGTAATTACAAAATGATGATGTATTTCAAAGATGTAAATCAGTGTGATATCTGCGAATTTGGAATATATTCATATATAAATGGGTCCAAATATCCACATAAGTTGATGATATTGCAACCATGATGTAAATACTTTTTAAAGAGCCATTAAGATACTTCAGTCATGAAAATTCTTCTGTGGCTCAGGAAAAAAATATCTTTGTAAAACCAAAAACTTGGTTTTTTTGTGGAGAAGAAAAACAATGGGGAGAATTATTTCTTTAAGATATGGTCATGCAGGTGTATAAATATTCACAGATACAATCATTTAGTTATCAATAATATTAAACATCTGATGTAAAGTCATTAATGAGATTAACAAAGTTCTCACTGTTGGGCTAATTTGCTTGTTACTAATACTGTCTTTTCTGTACATTCATAAATGGTATCATAAGTTCATTCTTCTTTCTCGTAAAAAACTAAGTCTAAATATTAAAGTAGTTGTGCATAACTATCGGATTTCTGAATATGTATATATATATATGTGTGTTTAAAATATGTCCCACTCTGCCTCAGCAGTGAGTTTCAGGGAGAATAACCCTAAAATCTGAGGTTCGATTCCTCGCTGTGGACAAAGCGCAGCCAGCCACTTGTATAGTTTGAAATTAACAACAATCAGTGAACCTTTAAAATATTATAAGTTGTTTTACTTATGTGTATATTAATTTCTACCTCAGGAGCCATCCAATAGGGGGAGCCCACAGAAGACTGTGCTTTGCCGTTCGTGTTCTTTACTGAAGCAGAAAGACCTGAAAATATACAATATACATATACATCTATATCAAGCTTGATCATAAACTCCTCCTTTTAAAAATAAAAGTTTATTTATAAAAGAGTTGGATTAATTGTAGTTTAACACGTATTCCTTATGCGAATTTTGTGGTGTTATTATGATAATATGAAACATGAATTGCGTCCATGCAATATAAAGCTGGTACCGACCGGAAATGTGATTCAAAACAAATAATAAGTTTTATTTTAATGAACAGATAAGTTTCAAAAACTTGTTACATTAAATTAAAGAGCTTATATGAAATTAGTTGATACAATTTAAGTATATGTACATCTTCAAAAACTTATTAGTCTCTTAACTCTCAAATAGTTAAGCGTGTTTATCGCCAATTTATAAACAAAAAATCTGGTAAAAAATTCCGGTACTTAATTTCGTTGAATTACATGTTAATAAAACCATAACTTAACATATAGGTCTTTTTACTAATGAAAATACATGTACTAATAACGATGTTCATTTTAATTAAAGGTTCTTTCCGTAAACCTAAACGTTATTCCATTTCCATTTAATAAATCCGTGTGTACTTTTGAACAGTTTTGACAGACTCTGCTCCATTAATGGTAAATGTTATGAAGGAATTATCCATTAACACCACACAGCTGACGTAAAAATGTTGATGCTAATTATTTAAAGTAAAAATAAAACTTACCAAAGTCAATTAATTTGACATATCCCTCTTTAGAAAACATTATATTGGCAGCACGAATATCTCTGTGGATAATGCTGTTTTCATGTAAGTACTGCACAGCCTAAAAACAACAAACTTCTATAACCAATCACATGTCCACTTTCAAAATTTCACCATAAAATAACCACAGTACTTTTACCATTAAAAGTCATTTAAATTATTCTATAACTTACTTGTACAACATTTTTCCAACAATTTAAATGGTTGAATAATAGGTGACACAACGATCGGAACGGTCATGGGTCTGACTTGACTTACCGGTATATCTGAGTTCCAACAGTTAAATTAATATACATGTATCATGTATAGTAAATAATACTTTACACCTATTTATATTCAGTGAAGTGTCGTGTTAGAAGATAAAGTCCAATAAAAATGAAAGTAATGTAATAAATCAATTCGAAACATTTATACTTTTCCATCATAATAGTTTGCGTATCCTGTACGATTTCTGTCTGCAGACTTTATGAAAACGAAACAACGTTTCGAGTGAAAGAAAGCAGAAGTTTACTCGCAGTTTCATTTTTACACTAATTATTACAATTTCGTTATGCTACAAACTTGTGAATCCAAGTTCATTTTAAAGGTTTATAAAATTGAAATTAATGTATAATGTATCTATTACAGGCAAGGATCTGTAAAAATGGGATTTTTAAGTAATTCAAATGAATGTATAACTTAGTAATACAACATCATTCAAGTCATTTAAATGAATGTATAACTTAGGATCTGTAAAAATGGGATTTTTAAGTAATTCAAATGAATGTATAACTTAGTAATACAACATCATTCAAGTCATTTAAATGAATGTATAACTTAGGATCTGTAAAAATGGGATTTTTAAGTAATTCAAATGAATGTATAACTTAGTAATACAACATCATTCAAGTCATTTAAATGAATGTATAACTTAGGATCTGTAAAAATGGGATTTTTAAGTAATTCAAACGAATGTATAACTTAGTAATATAACATCATTCAAGTCATTTAAATGAGTGTATAACTTACGCAATATCTTTCATGTCATTTAAATTAGTATTTAATTTACTCGTACAACATATTTAAAGTAATTTAAAATAGTGTACAACTTATACAATGTCTTTCAAGGAATTTAAATGAGTTTATAACTTACTCGTACAACCTCCTTGATTATTAAAGCAATCAAGTCTTCTTTCAAGTGAATTCCAAACCTTCTGTGTGTTGCAAGCAAGTCAGCTGCTGTCCCTTCTTCCAGAAACTATGAGACAACACAAAGAATAATGCATTCAGTATAATATAGGGAACGACCAAATTTGTTACACAAACTGTGACTAAAATATGAAGATAATTATATTTTTCCAGAACTTTCTCTATTATTAAAATAACCAGATTTATAAGGATCTTGAAACACCTTTTGTTTCTAAAATAAAACCAAGTATGATTAAGTTGTATTCAGTAATCTTTACTGTTAATCCACCTGAGTGAACGATACGTGTTACCCTGAATTATTCTATTGTTTCAGTGTGTGTAAGATTACATCAAAATTAGAATAAAAAGGAACAAATATAAAGAATGGTAATGATTTCTAAAACAGCAATATCAAGTTTGAAAATACAACTTTCAAAATGGACTAAATAAAAATAAGTTTCAGAAGTAAATTTTCCTTCCAACTTTCAAAGTCTGCTAGTATTTTAAAGGTATTTTCAAACATTTCAAACAGTGACGAATATATTAAAACATAAATGTAAGATATAGCCAAATATCAAGCTATATTAGATCCGTTAATATTTAATAATATCTATTTTCAAAACATAAGTAATTCTATGTCTTCTGTTCCATTCCAAAGAACAGATATTTCAGAGGTACAGTTTTTTTATTGAAAATGATACATTTTCTTTCAGACATAAAGGTTTAACTATTGCAACTGAAGAATTCAATTTTTCTAAAAAAAATGTGAAGGAGGTATAAAAGAAATTTAGCCGTCAGCTCTCTCGGTTTTTGTGAAGATAAAGAATAGAAATAAATACAAAGAAACCTTATACCTCAATTCCCAGCCATACTTCATTGTCAGATTCTCGTTCCCCACGCTTGAAGAAAGCACCACGGAATTCGGGGAAAAACTGGATTCCATTGACAGCTTTATAAATACGATATTCAGTTTCGATATCAAGTAGATTTTCCGCAATGTGTCCTATAATCTTCAGCGCTACCTTCTTGTCTTACAAAGGCAATGAGAAAAGAAGAAAAATGGGCAATAAATAGTAAGTATGACGAAATAAGATCTAAAATATTGAATAGCTGCAGTATTTTTTAATGAGAACCAAAACTATAACTATTTGTTACTCGACTGAATAGAAAGTGAAGCAACCATATCTGACTTAGATTCACATATGTGTTTTTGAAATGCCATATCTGGAGATTTGCGAGAAGTTGACACAATAATCAGATAAACCATAGCTGAATAGAAAGTGAAGCAACTATATCTGACTTAGATTCACATATGTGTTTTTGAAATGCCATATCTGGAGATTTGCGAGAAGTTGACAGAATAATCAGATTCTTTAGTCAGTTTATTTCTTCGCTCATCACTGCCTATATTTTATATTAATTTATTTATATTCTTAACAAAAAATTTCCACACTCTTAACATATTCTGTTTATGATAAAATCCCTCATATTGAAAATAGTCTACTAAATTATTTTAAGAAGTTAATACACCTACAAACTTAGACCACATTAATATATCAGTGTCAAACTGTAAATTTTATTAAACGTGGATCTGCAAAATAATTTAGTAATGAGATAATAATAGTACAAACCAAATAATATAAGTAATAGAACTATGAAACTTCAAAGTTACAAATGGAAAAATAATGAACTAAATCAGAGAATGAATAAGTTAGAACAAAAAAGTTTTTGAATTCAAAAATACCACGGTAGTATAAGTTGCGGAAAGACGAGTTCGTTTTCTTGGTCACTACCTTGCAAGTATGATAGCATTGATTTTCAGGCGTTTTTCCTATGTGGCAATTTCAACCTGAACGATACCTTATGGCCAGATCAGAGACCCATGAGATTCAGGCAAAGTCTTCCCTAATTTAGAACTACGAACTACAGGGAAGATAAACACAGCAACACCCTCCGTTTACACGGTTACTCTTTATCAAATAACGGAACTGATTATCATAGTTATAACGCGCCCATAGCTAAAAATACGGAGCTTGTTCAGCGACATAGTACAACTCTAACCTTGGATCTTTCCATACGCAACTTGACATACCTGGCATATACATATGTTTTTGTTGTTATTGATTGTCATCAGTCTCGTAATTAATAATGTATAATTTCAGTCGGATAAAACTAAAATTTAACGTTTGGTTACAAGGTCTGCCACATATTTATATTTCCTAAATAGATCTAATGATGGTTTTCTGTAAATTGAACGAAAGTGGTAAAAAAAAAAGACAAGAGAACCCACCATACGCAAGCAAAGAACTTAGTACATGTATTGTATACAAATAAGAAGTATATTAAGCAACAGTCAAACTGTGTGGGAATAAATAAAACATAATCTATTGTACTGGCTAAGAAATGTGATGAAAATAACTTGTGCTTCATTGCATACAATACTTTAAACAACCTTTACGCATATCCATCTTTATTGTTTTATATATTGTTAAAATGTCATATTAAAAAGCTTAATCCCATTCTCTAGTTCTGGCCTACGGAGAAGTGTTCTTTAAAAGGGGCAAAAACAATCATATGTATTCAAGATTGTAATTATAAATTGTCTTAGAAATATTTTCACATCGAGTTTTTCAATGTATTTTGCCTGAATTATTATTTTTTGTTTACAAAGCATAAATAACCAAAATGCATTTACTAAAGACTCTTATATATAAATAAATGGTTTTTCTTATTGCCTTATTTATACTATCTTCTCGTATATCTGAAACAGAGTGCCATAGCTTCAAGCACTAACATTTTTAAGCAACAGGAATTCATAAAACTACCTTTTTTAGAATACTGAAAAAACTTAGTAGAAAAAAAAAAGAAAACAACAAGACGAACAATGACTTCTTACTTGCTTGCTTATCGATCGCTGAGTATACGGTAGCATAAGTTCCTGTTCCAACGAGTTCTTGTACTTCAAACCGATCACCTGGATCAGGCAGAGTCTCAAATGGTAAATGTTCACTGATACACTTATACTCCATGTTAAAGCATTTAACAAAGCTACACATATATAAATATATGCACGTTAGCAGTCTGTTTTAGTGATATATACCTGTATAACACAGCAACAAGTAGGATCACAAGTCAGGGAGTAACTGAAAGTAACAGACCAATATATATATATATATGTGTGTATATATAAGTACGTTAGCTATCTGTTTTAATATGTACCTGTGTAGCACAACAACAGATAGGACGTCATAATACAATTTTTTATTACTAAAAAAAGCGACCACAGATATTAGTGAAGCGGAAATGAAAACTTTGGTTCCTGACTGCTTTTCAGGGTACGGTTACAAATAGCTGCTATCGTCCTTAACTAGATGATGCCACGCACGTGTACTTCTTTTTCTCAACCAATAGTAAATTGATTACAAACCCACAAAAGGAATCTCATTATGATCCAGAAATCCCACACGCTGTCAACGTTACATAAAAGAAGGGTATTTGATTCTTGGGCAAGTCTAATAATTTCACTTATTTGGCTTCCTTGTAAGCCAGTTGGTAATCTTATGTTTTAGTCTCGTGACCACGCGGTCAATTCAGCTGCTGGCCTTTACATACTTGGAGATATGAACAGTGATTGTAAGGTTTCGGAATCCCTTGTAATTACACTTGTAGAGGTATACAAGTATTTCAAACACGACATTCCAGTCTATCTGGCATTATGTGAAGCGTTTGACCATAGTTTGCTGCTTACGAGATTAGCTTTCATAAGAATATATCCTCTGCTTAACCTCAAAACCAACGTTCACTAATAGAATTGTATACGTTTTTTAATGAAGTGTCAAGGCGAACGAAGATACCATGATTCACTCGTCCGGTATTTTTATAAGACAGGCGTTATGCTTTGTTCATTATTTAACATAAAATATTATTTGCTTGCAGTTATATCATACTATTGAACGTTGGTGGGCCTTTTGTTGTTATTATCAGTCTTTTGAGGGAATTTAACATAAAAAGTTTCGTTGCAACTGAACTATCTTAGAAATCAATGATTAATAAGCGTCAAATTTTATCTAATTCCCTTTTCACGAGTTTACTTGCTTTAAGGTTATAGCTTCATGGTTTCCCTCTATCTCACTCTTTTTTTTCTAATGTAAGTCATATATGCTATCATATATTAAACGAACACAGCAAATTCTTTCAACTAGAATAATTAAGCAAACTACTGTATTATTTTGTAAGGGTGATATCCCAGGTCCTCTACATCCGGGTGGTGGTTGTCCTTATAGTAGAGCTCTAGATTACGGAGCTGGCGAACCGGGTTCGAATACGTACGTTATCACAAAATATTCCCGCACTGTAATCTGTGGGTGCGTTCTAAGAATGAAATTCAAAGCCCTTAGTGCGAGTGGTGAATACGTTAAATCTAAAACTTCTAATACTGTGTATAGTATTTCGAACTCTATGTGCCAAGGAAAGGTCTCCAGAAACAAAACAAAAATTGTGTGTTATAAGTTTACAAATAAGTCGTATTACACTGGATGAAACATTTAAAGGATAGGCGGAATTTATAATATTTTAGTTATGATAAGGCAATAGTATACTAAAATAGTGTCAATCACCCCTTCCCTTAGTTCATTGTGTACGAAATTTAGGAAAGTGAGGATCTGTCATGTGATCTGAAATTAAATGATTGGCCATTCAACATATGCTCATAAATGAACATTCTGTAGGGGTTGCATTTCGTTTCAGTGTGGAGTATAGCATGACAAAGAGTGATGTTAGGAAAATACGTAGGTTCATGAAATCAATTTAACACAAAAATACAATACCCTAAAACCCGAGTGCTTTCGAAAGGAAGACCTTTCTCCATCAGGGGCAAACTAGGAACATGTTGCTCATATTACATATTTATAATTAGATTGTTGGTAAGGCTCTGATATATCCTCAAGATTACTCTTCTAAGAGAACTCTTTTTTCCAAGGCATATTAGTGTCTGGAGTCACTTGTTGAGATGGGAAACATACCCCAAAAGCATCCTACACGGGCTTGATGGGATCGAAGTCCAGTAAGTTTGTATATTTCAAGGAATGTGTTGACAATTTTAAAATGGTGGAAGAGGTCGCTATCATCCATTAGGTTAACACATGGCATAACAAAAGAACGTAGGATGTGGCCCCTATAGTTTGTGAAATTAATAGTGGTATTCTACAGGATGTAGAGGATGTTACATCCACCAACGCTTAATCATGGTCAGAGTATACTTCCACCAGTGTAATGAACACTTTCCTGTAAGAAAATAGAGTTGAACTTGGTTCCAGTTTCCTTCTAAATAAGTATTCGCCTGCTATCCGGTTGCATGGTGAAGTGTGACTTATCTGTAAAAAGAATATTACTTCATATATGTAGATCCACTGGACATGTTCTTAGCATCATTATAGGCAAGCCATTGTTTTGTAATTTGCTGTAGATGGAATGCATCTCACTAGTCATTTAGCAAACAACCTGGTCTTTGTAAAATCTCTTTCTTAGTATTTGTAAATTGGAAGGTATCCAATTGCAGCTGCGGACGTCTGGTTCAATCTCGGAGCAGATGCCCTTTGACTGGCCTTTAAACTCTGTGATGCCCCTCAACGTGACAAGTGAGATAAGATTGTGTGAAATCATTTTAAAAGCAGAGGCTGAATAACTAATATCTACATTTCAGATCACGTGACTGATAATCATCTTGGTGATTTTTACAACAAAGCAGTGAGAAGGTGATTGATACTGTATTACAAATTACGATTATTCTTTATTGTATTGTATAGTTAATCAGGATACATGTGATCAAAGATGCTCTTCATCGTAATTAACCGGCAATAATAATTGTGTAGCCAGCATTCTGTTTGTTGTATGGCCTAGTAGAATTTACAACATACACTCTATTTATATGGACGATATTATATTCTAAATGTTCCTTAATTGCCTCATATACCTTAAAGAACTTCATATATTTGGAGACGTCGTTTTCATAAAGGTTATTCTCAAAACAACACAAATTAACTGAGCAGAATATGACATAGTTCAACCAATTACATAAAGTTATTACGGAGAGTACCTTTCTTTGGTAAAATCGTATCAATGATTCTATGTACATGAAGTCTAATGTAAAACTGAACAATTTACAAGAAAAGGTGGATTACATATTTCTGTAATTAAGAAAAGATCTTATAAGTTAAACGGCCAAATCACACACCTCTAAGTTCAGGCATTGTAGTCCCTAATTGTGAATCGTTAACCAAAGGGAGGAAAATCTCACACCAGTACTAGCAGCTTACACAGCTACTCGTAACCAAATAACCGGGTTGACTGTCACTTATGTAACGCTCCTACAGCTGAAAGTGCAGAGTGTATTAAGCGGCATATGGTAGGCTCGAACCTTGGATCTTTCAATTCACAGTTCGCCAGATTATATCAAAAACAAAATTAGGTAACACTCAATGAGTCGGCTTCTGCCTTTCTAAATTCCTTAAATGTCCCTGGATATTGTATCGAAATATACAAATGTTATATTACAAGAACAGCATTATTATTGTAATACTCTAGCCATGCATGCGATTAATAAAACAAAGACGCTTTATAATTAGATAAGTATTTAGATTATTTCTATACTACTTAATAAGCTTAGAAATTATAATAATAGTGAAATGAAAGTTGTTACAAAATTCAAATCTATGGTGATCTAAATGAACAAGTTAAACGCACAGTTACGAAAAGTGTACAGTTGTTTTTGAGTATATATAACATCAAACAAATAACTACTAGATCATAGAAATATTAGTTTTGTACTATCTCTTTTAAAAGTTTTACGCCTCGATAAAAATTTGTTCTGTGGCTTCTTCACTATTCATGTGATACTTCGAACATCTTTACAATTTTCAAGAAACCTTTCATGTATGAACTATCTGCAGCATAGCAACGAACGCCCCTATTTCATGTAGTGTTAATGTGTTGTCAAACCTACGTTCTTTAGTAAAGCAGTGGTCTGCTACATATAAGGGGACACATAAACACTTGAGTCTATAAAACATCTTAAAACAACATAATTTATATATATCTGGGAATGTGTGAATAATTAGAAATATACCAAATTCTCCTTAAAACAATGAACATTCTAGATATCATGGTACAAATAAATGTTTTTAAGAAATACCAAAATCTTGTATATAATAATGCACTTGCTAAATTGATAGAAGAAAGTGCAATCGAATTAAAACTAAAAGTATATCAATGATACGAATTTTTCCTGCTAGATTTGAAAGACCAGTACAAGTGTAAGAAGTGCTGGAAAGACATTACGAATAATCTGAGTATCAGTTAAAAACATTAAGTTAGTATTAAACATATCATTCCCCCTTACTCCACCGCTCGCCACTTCATTTGCAAATTGTTTTTATAAATTGTGATGAGCTCCCTGTCGAGTTTCGACCATTCTTATTTCACTTCACAAACCGAGATGCAAAAACTAAGCATAAAAATTCTATAAATTATTTTTTTAACATTCTTTTTCTTTGAGCTTCTTCATTACGAAAGAGATTTTTTCCGCATTACTGCTGACTCCAGGATTTTCTTTAGTTTCTAAGGATTGTTTTTACATAGGATTTTATACTGATCGAACATGTAGCACACTTTTGGCACAGTATAATATACGAGCTGTTTTTCTTTTCTTTGTTCTGTTGAGCCCCCCAGTGGCACAGCGGTATGTATGCGGACTTACAACGCTAGAAACCGGGTTTCGATATCCGTGGTGGGCAGACCACAGATAGCCCTTGTGTAGCTTTGTGCATAACTAAAAACAAACAAACAAACAATTTGTTCTGTTGAAACTTCGAATAGAACAAATAGCGTATGTCCCCGCAGCCCTACAATTGCAAGTGAGACCGAAGAGCCTGACAAACTTAAAAATTGCCGACAAGGAGAATAAGTGTAGAGGGACCAATTACTTTTTTTATGCAGGTAGGGAAGCATCTTTTGTAGTTAAGTCGCCGAAAATAACCAATGTTTATCTCACTAGGCGTTATGGAGGAAAAAAAGGAAAAATGTTTGGAAATGAGTGTTTCAATAATCTTAGATTATTGTGTTGATAATATCCTTTTAATTATATTAGAGAAAATTCAGTTTTTAAATTCCAGAGCGTGGTGGATATTCAGAATTGTATTTTATAATCTTCAAGTTAAATTCAACTTTATATCTATATAAAAAAAGCCATAAAAATCATGTAGCTTGTAGAAGTAACCGTTTCCGTAAGATTAATAAAAATTGTTTACTTTAAAACATTGAGCTGGTTTATATGTACGTATGTTACTTTC